TTGTAGAGATGAGGTCTCACCAAGTTGCTCAGGCTGGTCTCGAACCCCTGGGCTCAGGCAGTCCTCTCACCTTGGCCTCCCAAAGTGCTGGGAATACAGGCTGAGCTACTGTGCCCAACGCGAAAAAGTGACATTTTAAATACAGTTTGGACTAATACCAAAATAGTGGGTTAGAATGGATTTTCTGAATGTCAGGGACTTTACATAGATCTTAATTATAACTCTCAGTGACACTTGAAGAGCGGGTACCCCTGTTTGCAGAGTAGGGCACTGCCACTCATTGACTTGCAAGTGATAGATGGTTCTGTTTGACACAACGCTATATTTTTTCCAAGAAGCCCAATTCCCGAGCTCTAGCCATTCCCAATGTGGTCGTCTGAGTCCTCAGGTGACAGCAGGGTGGAATGGAGGATGGCCCCAGCTGTGGAGCAGAGAGAACCAGGGTTTTGAGTCCCGGCTCTGCACATGATTACTTTGAATGATGGAAATTATAATGTCCCTCCAGAGAAGTTCTAAGAATCAAAGGGCTTGATAGTTTAGTGTTGAAGATTTGGGGGGGTATATATTAAGCCATCAAATGTTTGTTGGATTGAGAGTTCTTGCTTTTGAATCATCTGGGCAGGTTTTAGTATTATTGTCTAAATTGACTGCATTTCCTTCCCAGTCTTCTCACAAGACTTTCAGGATCAAGCGATTCCTGGCCAAGAAACAGAAGCAAAATCGTCCCATTCCCCAGTGGATTCGGATGAAAACTGGTAATAAAATCCGGTAAGACCTCCAACGTCCAACTAGTTTTTAATTTAAGGTTGCTTTTTGAGCATAAATATGCAGTTGAAAATTATGTGCAGTTTAATTCATTCTGAATTTTTTTGAGTTTTAGGGTCTTTTGTCACAGCTTACCGCAGCCTCAACCTTCTGTACTCAAACTATCCTTCCACCTCAGCCTCCCAAGTAGCTGGAACTACAGGTGCACACCATTGTGCCCAGCCTTTTTTTTTTTTTTTTGGTAGGGACAGATCTCACTTGAAGTGTTTATCTTTTCTGAAGATGGGAAAACTGCCCTGTACTGCAGTAGTTGAGTTGATTTCTAAAGAAAGGCGTTAGCTAGCATTGCTATGAAGTATCTCCCAGGTCCATCTAGGCTACCAGGCAAAGCTAGGTCTAAAACTCAGGTCTCCTGCATGCTTTTTACAAAGTACTAGAAAACCACAAAAGGGAAGGGAAGCTAAAAGAAAAACATATGAGACTAGTTTATTCCTCTTCAGCTGTTGAACGAAGTGGTTTTCCCTATGTCAATGAGGATTTTTTAAATTTGAAAAAAAAAGAATGAATGAAAATGTATCAGAGTCTTATTTTCAAAGGACTTTTAAGCTGACATTGTAGGATGAGCTTGGTAAGTAGGTCCCTCTTGAAAGATGAAGCCTGTCTCCCAGGTTGGAATACAGTGTAACACTCATAGCCACCACAGCCTCCACCTGCTGGGCTCAAGCGATCTTTCCACATCAGCCTTCCAAGTGGCTGGAACTATGGGTGTGCACCACCAAACCTGTCTGATTTTTTGATTTATTGTAGAGATAAGGTCTCCAAGTTGCCCAGGCTGGTCTCAAACCTCTGAACTCTGGCAATCCTCTTGCCTTGGCCTCCCAAACTGCTAGAATGACAGGCTTGAACCACCGTGCCCAACCTGAAAGATGAAGATATTGAAGTTCAGCAGTGTAAGGTCCTCCCACCATGGCCTCCCAAAGTACTGAAATTACAGGCATGAGCCACAAGGCCTGGGCCAACTTTATTTGAATTATATGGCAAATCTAGTGGGACTACTAAAGTTGAAGGGCCATTTACCGAATTCATTTAGCTAGTTAGAAGTGAGAATTGTGACTGGGTGGGTGGCCCAAGCTTTACTCAGCACTTTAGCAGGCCAAGATGAGAGGATTGCTTGAGAACAGCCAAGGCAACCTAACAAGATCTTGGTCTCTAACTCCTGTAGACCCCAGCTACTCAGGAAGCTGAGGCAGGAAGGATCACTTGAGCCCAGGAAATCAAGGCTGCAGTGATCTGTGATCAGACCACTGCACTCCTCCAGCCTGAACAACAACAAAGTGAGACACTCAGCTAACAAAAAAAAGAAGGTGAAGGTTGCTAGTTTTTGTCTTCTGTATACTAGATACTCCTTCATTTATGTATATTAATATGTTTAGGGGCTATCACACGGTACTGGCACAACTAAATTTTAAAACTCATCCTTCCCATCATACAATACTGAGAAAAGAGCATTGGGTCACTAAGCAAAGTGGTTTGTTTGGTAGCTCAGTCTTTCTAGAAGCTTGGTGGATTTCTGTTGATAACATCACAGTTATCCATAGTAAAGCCTTTTATTTTTTGAGTAAGAGTCTCGCTGTCGCCAAGACTGGAGTGCAGTGGCACACTCACGGCCACCACAGCCTCAACCTGCTGGGCTCAGGTGATCCTTCCACCTCAGCCTTCCAAGTAGCACTGTAGAGACAAGATCTCGCCAGGTTGCCCATGCTGATCTGGAACCTCTGGGCTCAGGCAATCCTCTCACCTCAGCCTCCCAAAGTGCTGGCTGGGATTACTGGTGTGAGCCACTGCGCCAGGCCAGTAAAGTATTTTAAATGTATTTACATGAACATCAGTTTCTCCATGTCCCCATCTGATAATGGTGGAACTTTTCCTTATAGTTTGTGAGGAATGAAAGAAATGTACATAAAACTCGGCGTTAATGTAAGGTTATGTATTCTTGACCCAGGGAATTGGCACTAGATTTTTCTATTATCTCCACTATCTTCCAACTTTTAAAATGTATTGAAAGCAGGTTGCAATTACAGTGCTTCATTTTTGTGGGAGTACTGCCATTATCCTGCTGAAAGAAATGCTGTGTTAATCGTTTTTGATTTTGCCTTTTTGAGGGTAAAGTCATGACAGATTGACACAGACAATTCTGAGATTGCTTTAGCTCTGCAAATCATTGCTGCTCTGGGCTGGATGTGAATGGGAGTGTTAATCTTTCAAGACCGCGCAGCAATCCCCACTAAGGGGTTTAAAAGTATTCGTGCATCTACCCCAGGTCTGTTAAATCAAAAGTAGGTGAGGGTACGCTTGGAGAGGAGAGCTTCTCCACTACTCTGATCCCAAATATTTATTCTAGAGATGAGGTGTCACCAAGTTGCCCTGGCTGGTTTCTGAGTTGTGAGCTCAGACAATCCTCTCATCTTGACCTTCCAAAGTGACCACGTCCGGCCTTGTTTTTGTTTTTTATTTATTTTTAATGAAGTGAGTCAGGGTCTCACTCTCACCCAGGCTGGAGTGCAGTAGCACAATCATTACTACAGCCTCGACCTCCTGGGCCCAGGTGATCCTTCCACCTTGCCTCCTGAATAGGTGGGGCTACAGGCACATGGCACTATGCCTGACTAATTTATTAAAAATGTTTGTAGAGACAGGGTTTCCCTACATTGCACAGGCTGGTGTCCTGGAACTCCTGGGCACGATTATCCTCCCACCTGGTCTCCCAAAGTGCTGAGAATTACAGGAGCATGCCACCACATCTAGCCTGGACTTAAAAGATGGAAAAATATTTTGTGGTACCTAAAAGACGAAATGTGTGGTGAATGGGAACAGTTAAATTGCCATGGGATACCTTTGTAATGTGTCATTTCCTTCTGTGTAGGTACAACTCCAAGAGGAGACATTGGAGAAGAACCAAGCTGGGTCTATAAGGAAATGCACATGAGGTGGCACATATGTTTATGTTGAATCATGGTCACCGTCATCTTGCTATTATCAAGCTGAAAATCTCCACAGTCAAGAAGTCGGACATGTTTAATTGGGATGTGATTTTTTGTTTATGTGCTCTGCACTAGTGGGCTGGCTCAGTAATAAATATGAAACCGTTTGTCTGATCTGCTGTATTCTGGTTTGTGAAGTACTGAAGTCCCCCTTCTGTCAGACCTGACAGTACTGTCTAGTAGAACTTTGCAATGATAGAATGGTTCTCTGGCTACCAAGTATTTGAAGTGTGTTTTAGTATGAGACACTGGTAAGAGGTATCTTAGGTTGGCCGGGCTGGTCTCAAACTCCTGGCCTCGAGCGATCCTTCCACCTCAGCCTTCCGAAAGTGCAGGGCTTAAAGGTGTGAGCCACTGGGCCCAGCTGACTTTTAAATTTTTAATCATGAGTGAGTAGCTCCACGTGGCTAGTGTCTTTTATGGACGTGGTCTGGGTGTGTCGTCCTAGTACCTGAGGGTGGCACATTAAGAGTAGGAATCTAAGCCAGGGGTTGACAAAACTAACCTGCCTGTTTTTGAACAGCTTGCAAACTAAATAGTTATGGCAATTTTTTAACAGTTGAAAGAGATCAAATGGATATTTTGTAACACCTAAAAATTGACAGATTTTAATATTGATACCAAATTTTATTGTTATACAAACAACCACACCCCTCATTTACATGACCGATTCCCCACTAATGCAAAGACTTTATGACAGCTCTTGCAGTTTCTGTGGTTGACAGAAGTTGCCAGAGAATTGCTTCTGTGTAACACCCGAACCACTAGCAACTTTTTTTTTTTTTTTTTTTTTTTGAGTTAGAGTCTCACTCTGTCACCCAGACGAGTGCAGTGACACACTTCTGGCCATCGCAGCCTTGACCTGCTGGGTTCCAGCGATCCTTCCGCCTCAGCCTTCCAAGTAGCTGAAACTATAGGCGTGTGCTACCACGCCTGGCTAATTTTTGATTTATTGTAGAGATGAGGTCTTGCCAAGTTGCCCAGGCTCGTCTTGGACCCTGGGCTCAGGCAACCCACTCACCTCAGCCTCTCAAAGCACTGGGATTTTAGGCTGAACCACCGAGCCCAGCAGCAACTTAATAAATTCAGAAAATGATTGTGTACCTATGCATCAGGTACTATTTTAGGTACTTAGGACTTATTGGTTGATAACTAATTATATAGCATGTTAGGTGATAAGAACTAATAAACCAATATGCAAGCTGTTAGACCTTTTCTGTGGGAAAGATGGGAGGGAACAAAGTTGCCTAATTACTCGTGGAATTAGGATTGAAAGTACAATATCAAGGGATATGTGGCTTGATGCTGACTCCCTAGCCAGTTCTCAGGTTGCCTATGATGACTGTACGTAGCCGAGAAGCCAAGTGTCAGAAGATGGAGTACTATGTATAGCGTCCCCTAAGTGGTGGCAGTGGCAGGGTTGCACAGCAAAGGGATCCCTGCCTTACAACCACTGGGAGGTTCAGATAATAGCAATCCTTACAGGCACTGTTCACTTGGAAGTTTGAAGAGTGGGCTCCACAATACCATGCAACCTAGGACCCTGGAAGATTTTTTTTTGTTTTTTTGAGTCAGAGTCTATTGCCAGACTGGAGTGTAGTGGCACAATCATGGCCAATGCAGCCTCAACCTGCTGGGCTTGCCATGTTACCCAGGCTGGTCTAGGCATGAGCCACCACACTCAACTTAGGAGCTTCTTATAAGCCACTAGACTTCAAATAATTTTCTCTATCAGTGTTGCCTCCATATTCAAATGTAGCTGCCACTGTGATGGCAGTAGGTAAATGTCAACACAGTAGAAGTAGGACTTGATATGATTAAGTCATGTGACAGGGAAATGTTTAGCCATTTCAGAGTGTTAGAAATAATTCAGCATCAGCCAGGCACAGTGGCTCATGCCTGTGAGGGAGGCTGAAGCAAGAGGATTGGCTGAGCCCAGCAGGTCAAGGCTGCAGTGGCCGTGAGCATGTTACTTCTAGCCTGGACAAAAAAGTGAGACTCCAACTCAAAAAAAAAAAAAATTCAGCCTTGTTCTTCAGAATGGATTTAGTAGGGGAGATTCCTAACAACCCAAGTAGGTTATGTGACAAAACCAAGGTCACACTAATGTGTAGCCAGCTTTCTCTAGATGTTGAATAATAGGATTAGGATTTGGAGAAAGGGACAATGACATGGACACAGGTAGGCCTTGGGTAAGGGTTTTTTTGTTTGTTTTGAGCCTGGGAGATGAATGCAGAGTCTGCATCAAGTGGCCCTCACTAGCTTGAAACATTTGTGCTGTGTATGGAGAGAATGCCATCAAGAATAAGCACACCAAGAAAACTATTTTGTCTGGTCCGGTGTAGTGGCTCATGACTATAATCCCAGCACTTTGGGAGGCTGAGGTGAGAGGATTACTTGAGAACACGGGTTTGAGACCAGCCTAGACAACTTGGAGAGACCTCATCTCTACAATAAATCAAAATATTAGCTGGGCGTGGTGGCACATGCCTGTTTTCCAGCTACTTGGAAGGCTGAGGTGGAAGGATCACCTGAGCCCAGCAGGTTGAGGCTGCAGTGGCTGTGAGGGTGCCACTGCACTCCAGCCTGGGCGACGAGTGAGACTCTGACTCGAAAAATAAATTAAAAATAAAGTAAAAACATTAGCCAGGCATGGTGGTGCACTCCTGTAGTCCCAGCTACTTGAGAGGCTGAGGTGGAAGGATGGCCTGAGCCCAGCAGGTTGGGGCTGTGGTGGCCATTAGCGTGCCACTGCACTCAGCCTGGGTGACAGTGAGACTCCAACTCAAAAACAAATGTGCTCTGGGAATGGAACTTGATCATGTGTTGGGGACTTCACTGTACTTGTTTCCTTGTCTGTGAAGCGAGTTGGCCTACTAGTGCATCCTGAAGGGAGGAATGGGAGCTTGTGATTTGTTTTGATTTTTTAGAGAGATGCTCTCGCTGTCACCCAGGCTGGGGTGCAGTGGCACGATCGTAGCTCAATGCAGCCTTAGAACTCTTGGGCTCAACTGACCCTCCCAAGTAGCTATGACTACAGGTTTGTACCACCATGCCTGGCTAATTTTATTTTTATTTGTGTAAAGATGGGGTCTTGCTATGTTGCCCAGACTGATCTTGAGGTCCTGGCCTCAAGTGATCCTCCCACTTCAGCCTCCCAAAGCACTAGGATTACAAGTATGAGCCATTACTCCCAGCCTGTGGTAAGTTTTAAGATTTCAAAAAGTTTCCAAACTAGTACATTTATCTTTTGAAGACATGAAGTTGGCCAGGCTCAGTGGCTCAGCCTGTAATCCCAGCACTTTGGAAGGTTGAGGCGAGTGGATTGCCTGAGCCCACGGGTTCAAAACCCACCAGGGCAACTTGATTTATCTACAATAAATCAAAAATTAACCAGGCATGGTAGTGCACACCTGTAGTTCCGGATACTTGGAGGGATGAGATGGAAGGATCGCCGGAGCCCAGCAGGTCGAGGCTGCAGTGACCAGGAGTGTGCCACTGCACTTCAGTCTGGGTGACAGAGTGATACTCCAACCCCTCCCCAAAAAAAGACATGAAGTCGCCCCTGTGGTGATACTGCCATCCCTTGATGGCCTAATGAGAGGTAGGCAGCAGCAACAGTATAATGGTTGAAGTTGCAGTCTGTGGATGATCAGACTGCAGTCTGTGGATGATCAGACTACAGTTGGGATTCATCAAATCTTGCTTGTTCCTACTCGCCAGCTGTTCTGTGGGTGTGAGGATGAAATGTAAAGCACTTGATTCAGTACCTGACTGTTGGAAGAGTAAAAGAGGAATGGAGAGTGAGCAGGATGAAAATTTTGCTTTCAGTTCCCTCCCCAACACACATGCACCATACTGCTTGTCAGCACAGGGATGGAAGATAGGGAAAGGGAGGTTGTGGTGGGCAGCAACTCAAGAAATCAGGCAGAGCCAGCATGGAGTTGGTGCTCAGATAGATGTCAGTTCCCTTCCAACCCCCAAAATCCTTATTTGGAAGGGTAGAATAAACCCCTCAAGGACATGCAGTCAGGTCCAGGGTTAAATCTCAACCACATCACTGAACCAACTGTGGGAACTTGCTCTCAAGAGATGTATGTCCAGAGTCACACCTGACTCTACCTCTGCTTTTTTTTTTTTTTTTTTTTTTTTTTGAGTTGGAGTCTCACTGTGTCACCCAGGCTGGAGTGCAGTGGCATGCTCATGGCCACCGCAGCCTCAAACTGCTGGGCTCAGGTGATCCTTCCGCCTCAGCCTTTCAAGTAGCTGGAACTACCGGCACAGGCACGTGCCACCATGCCTGGCTAATTTTTCTCGATTTATTTTAGAGACCAGGTCTTGCCAAGTTGCCCAGGCTGGTCTCAATCCCCTGGGCTCAGGCAATTCTCTCGCCTCCGCCTCCCAAAGTGCTGGGATTGCAGGCGTGAGCCACCGTGCCTGGCTTCTACCTCAGCTTTGTAAGGACTGAATGAAAATGTCTGCAAAGGCTCACTTCCACCAGCCATCCTCCCATTTTACAGATGACACAAAGGTTGCATAACTCCTGCTAACAGCAACTAGTGGTTTTTTTGAGTGCCTGTAACGAACTGGAATGGGAATGAGAACCACATTGAAGAGGGAGTAGATTGTAAATTCTTGGAAAGAACAGGGTGGAATGATCACCATTTACACTTCCTGGTGGTGTTGTATCCAGGAGTGTTCACCTAACACACCAAGCCCCCACCTATGCAAAGCATTGGTGAATGTTTGGGGAGCCACAGTTAAATATGACCAAACGCACAGGCTCACACATGCACAGTGGGTAGGCAGATGGGGTTTAAGGAACCAGGGAAAAGATCTAGAGAATCAGGGGCAGATCATGAATACTCAGATATACTGGGAGTTGGGAGCAATACTGTTCTCTGGGGCCTCAGGTCAAGGAGCCAGCCATTGCCACTCACTCCCTATAGGAGCGCCTCTTCCACACCAGTGGGCCCACCCTTGCCCTTGAAGTAGGGTCACTGACAAGGCCACTTGGGGCTGCAGGTCCAAAACTGCTGATGGGGACTGTGCCAAAAGCAGCAGGCCAGGACTTGGCTCTCAGCCCTGACCCTAAATGATGTGCTCTCTTGATC